ATAAAAAATCTCGGCTCTACAAAAAGTACCAGATAACTGGTTCTTTGTCTGTCTTTGCTCAATATTCTTCGGTTCGCTCTCAATTTCTTACGGTCAATAAGAAATGTTATAACGTATATCTTTCCCAATGTGGCAAAAATTTCCGTAGTAATCCCAAAAAATTCTTTTCGTTCGTCAACTCAAAACGCAAGTCGAACGCGTTCCCTTCTTCCCTTCAGTTACAGTCTAAAACAGAAACTTCAGATCAAGGAATTGCAAATTTATTTGCCACCTTCTTTCAATCGACGTACTCCTCGGATACTTATGACTCCTCCACCCCTTATCCATATCATCTACCTCATGTTAATAACGTGTTTCTTCCCTTCCTTGATTTTGCTCTCAGTTACTTTAATGTATGCTGATTACGGTAAAATTTGTTTTTACTTTTCCGACTGGTACTTGCATACTCGCCTACAACTTGACCTTGATGAATTAAGCATTTGGTGTTCAAATAACCTACTTTTCTTGAACCATTCTAAGTGCAAACTTATGACTTTTCACCGCCGTGCACCACATTTGGTCTCCTATTCTCTAGGACACCATGTTCTGGATCGAATCTCCACATCAAATGACTTAGGAGTCCTTTTCGATGTTTCCTATGTTTTAATAGCCATATTGCTTCAACTGTTAACAAAGCAAAGGGAGTTCTAGCGTTTATTAAGCGTTGGTCAAAAGAGTTTGACGATCCGTATATAACTAAATGTTTGAGATGCCAAGCTTTTTTGGCACCTATATTTATCCAAATCAGTTAAAGACTTTGATTTAAACGTTATAATGTTTATTTATACCGGCGGCTAGCTGAAGCCAATTGCTCGCTCTTTTGCCCAGCCAGATAAATGTTCACAAGCGGGGGTTCAGTATGCAACCTATGCGGCGAAGAGATTAGCATAGAACTACTTGGGCCACGACGGCCGATCAATGCAAGAGCCGACGCAGCAGGTGCAGAGCGCCCTTTAACAGGGAGAGCGCAGCAGCACTGCCGAACGCTGGGGACATACATAAGCTTAGGTTTCGATACTCTTATACTAGTTACAGCTACATTTAATATTGTGATAGACGCTTAAGTAGCCGCTGGCCCGAACATACTCCCCCGTTGGAAGCTCGCCTTTCAACTGACTTCTCAAGGGCAGCAAACACAGCCGAGTAACGGCCCCCCTGATGGTTCCTGAAGCCGTCTTCAAATCAGCCACGCGGCCTACTCCATCCTTGCCTTTGACGACGTCGACCACTCTAGCCAGTGGCCAACGCATTGGAGGAAGATTCTCATCCTTCACCAAGACGACATCGTTGACGCAGAGGTTTTTCGCAGGCGTACGCCACTTCGAGCGCTCTTGCAAAAGAGTCAGATACTCTTCGCGCCAACGCTTCCAGAATGTCTGCTGCAGTTGAGTGACCCGCTGCCAACCATCCAGACGGTTGTAGTTGAGCTTCGTTAGGTCAGGCTCGAGAATTGACTGATGCGGGCCTCCCAAAAGCAGATGAGCAGGCGTCAACACATCCAAGTCATCAGGATTTTCTGAAAGCGAGAGCAAAGGGCGAGAATTAACAATTGCTGCGATCTGGCAGATCAAGGTGCGGAGCTCGTCGAAGCTAAGGATGGATGGCCCAACTGAGCGGTACAGGTGATACTTTGCGGACTTCACGGCCGCTTCCCACAATCCGCCAAAGTGCGGAGAGCGCGGGGGGATGAAATGCCAGTCGATGGTGTCAGCCAAGCAGGATTCATGGACTTCTTTCATGTGCGAGTCGCTCAGGAAAAGCTTCTTCAGCTCCAGAAGCTCATTCTTAGCGCCAACGAAATTTGTAGCATTGTCCGACCAAATATGGCTTGGCCTTCCTCGAGTGGACGTAAAACGTTTCAGTGCGCCTAGGAACGATGCGGTGGTCAGATCTTTAACAAGCTCCATGTGTATGGCCTTAGATGTGAAGCAAATAAACACGCTTATGTAGCACTTGATCGGAGGCCTCGTGCGGATTTCTGATCGGTAGAAAAAGGGCCCACAATAGTCCACTCCAGTTACTTCGAAGGCCCGCGATCCTTCCAGACGCTCCTTAGGCAAGTCCCCCATAATGTGCTCAACCATGCGCGGCCTCGTCCTGAAGCATCTTACACACTTGCTAACCGCTTTCGAGACGGCTTTGATTCCTCCAATAGGCCAATATTCTAATCGAATTTTAGCAAGCAAGGCGCGAGGTCCGGCATGGAGGTTCCGTTGATGATAATAGCTTATCATTGCAGATGTTACGGGATGTCCCTTGGGCAAAATAAGCGGGTGCTGAGCATTAAACGGGAGCGATGAGTTGCCGAGACGACCTCCAACTCGAAGTAAACCTGACGGATCGATGAACGGAGATAGCGAACTGATGGAGCTAGACTTCCTGACTTGCCCATTGCGTCTAATCTCCTTTATGTCCGACCACAAACTTGCCAGCTGAACGTGTCGAACAAGAAGATGCGTTCCTTGCTGTATGTCAGAAACCGTGAGTCCAGGATGCCTAAGACGATGAACGAATTTATGCATGTAGGCGAATGTGCGCTGCATGCCAAAGAAAGAATTAGCAAATTTGCATCCGGACGTGAGATCGGCATGTGGAGACGCGATCAGCAATACACGCTTGCGAAGCTCAATGGTCGGAGTTTCAGAAACGGCAGATACAGGCCACTCATCCTTAGAACCTAACAAAAACGAGGGGCCGTGAAACCACAGCTCTGACTGGATGAGGTAGCTGGGAAGCGAGCCTCTGGAGAGGATATCAGCGGGATTCAACAATGTAGGAACATAGCGCCATTCCATGCCTTGCGTCAACTCCTGAATTGTTGCCACTCGATTTGCCACGAAAACCTGAAATTTGGCTGGCTCATCCCGAATCCAAGATAACGCCGTAGACGAATCCGACCAGCAGTAAAACTGACCTGGGAAAATTCCCGTCTCCTTTAAGTTGCGCATAACCTTCGCAAGCAAATGGGCTCCACTCAATTCCAGCTTTGGAATCGACAATGATTTTAGTGGCGCCACTCGAGACTTTGAGCACAAAACATTGCTCGACGACTCCCCTTGCCTGGACACGACATATATGCAAGCACCATATGCTTCCATGCTGGCATCACAAAATCCATGAACCTCTACAATTGTGCCGGAATTATGGACAACGCGAGGAAAGGAAATGCGAGAGATGCTTGCCAAACTGTTTCTCAGGTCAATCCAAGTTGAGTGCAGCGCTGTCGGTAGGCTTTCATCCCAGTCCAAATGTTCTCTCCAAAGCTGCTGAAGAAAGATCTTACACCTGATAATAACAGGATTAATCAATCCAAGAGGGTCGTAGAAACGCGCAATAGTTGACAAAACCGACCGCTTGGAGGGCCTTAAATTCGAGTCCAGCGCGGACAATGCAAACAGCAGCTGATCCGACGCAGGGTCCCAAGCTAAACCAAGAGTTTTGGTAATGTCGCTTCCATCATGAAACCGTAGAAATTTCTCCACGTCGTCCTCTGGAATTCCATCAAGCACCTCCTGGTTACTCGAGCACCATTTTCTAAGCTTAAAGTTACCCAAGACAGTAGACTTGAAGTTTGGCGCATCTTTTCCTTGACCTCTGCGACCGAGTTGCCGCCAGAGATGAGATCATCAACATAGAACTCCTGTTGCAGAGCAGCTGAGCCAAGAGGGTAGGGATAACCCTCGTCGATGGCCAGCTGGTGCATTGCGCGGACCGCTAAAAACGATGCAGCCCTCGTACCGTATGTGACGGTGTCTAATGTGTAGACCTGAACCTCGGACTGGATGGAATCTCGCCATAGGATACACTGTAGAAAATTGTCGGGCGGAGATACCTTTACGCAGCGGTACATTTTACAAATGTCACCAGTGAGAGCGACGGGATATGTGCGGAACCGGATCAGTATGTTAAACAATGCTGGCTGAATAACAGGACCTGTCATCATCACATCATTTAAGGAGCATCCAGTTGATGTAGCTGCAGAGCCATCGAAAACGACACGGAGCTTCGTCGTGGTACTATCCCTCCTTTAAAACGCAGTGATGAGGCAGAAAATACTTGCAGAGGCTACGTGAGTCAGGATGGACTTTGGACATATGCTTTAAATCAGTATACTCCTTCATAAAAGCTGAGTAATGCTCCTTGAGCGCGGGATTACGATCCAGTTTTTCGCTCCAAGCTAAGAAATCGTCGATACGCCTGAGTATAGGACTCTCCCAAGTGATCAGCATCATGCTTTAAAGGCAGTCGAACAGAGTACTCCCCTGATGGCAACCGTGAAAAGTGGCTTACGAAATGCGCCTCACAATCCGCTTCTTCCTTTGTACTCAAGCTAGCCTCCGCACAATTCTCAACTTCCCAAAACATACGAAGAGTTCGATCCAACCTTGCATTCATTCTATCCTCCGAATCCGGAGAATTTTGGGTTGCCAAAAGCGACGAGCTTGATACCCTCTGTCCACCACCAGATACGATCCACCCAAGCCGGGTCTTCTGCAGAAGAGGCAATCCATCTATGAGCTTGATTTGCCCTACGCAGAGAAGGTCATAGAATATGCTCGCGCCAATGAGGAGATCTACTCGCTGAGGATTAAAGAATGCGGGATCGGCAAGCTGAATGTTGGAGGGAATGTTCCAATCGGCTACATTAACTGCCAGACTTGGTTGGCTATCTGTGATTGTGGGTGCGATGAGAGCAGTGAGTGTGGTCGAATAGTCCGAAGTGCGAGACTGCATACAAATGCTGACGGTGGATCCCTCAGTGGACACGCTAGTATCGCCCAGACCAGAAACAAGGGCAGACGATTGAGTTCTCCTAAGCTGAAGCTGCTGGGCGAACCTGGAGGTAACGAGATGAAGCTGAGATCCTGAATCTAGAATAGCGCGACAAGGAACCAAAACGCCAGATCGATTCTTCACCAAAACAACAGCTGTGGCCAGCAGCACAATATCGGAGTGAAGACCTAGGGCAGCAAGAGAGGTAGACGCATGAGACGGCACACTGCTGGCAGAATCCTGAACCGGCGTAATAGCTCCTGGTTGTAATGCTCGTTCTGGAGGAGAACCAGCTGGGGAGCTTTGCGCTATAGATGAGTCGAAGTGCAACAAGGTATGATGCCTCCTTCCGCAAACTCTACACTGGCCACCTGTGCATGCACGAGTCCGATGACCCGATTTTAAGCAGTTTAAACACAGTGACAGCTTCTTCACTTCTTTGTGACGCAGAAAAGGAGATAAATTTGTGAAGATGCTGCACGAGTATATTTCGTGGCCCGCTGAATGGCAGAAGGGGCATCCAGACGGGTCGTCGGAAGAGTTAGAGGCAACAAAGGTTTTCTTAAGGTGTGTAGACTGGCTTTTTCCCACCTGAGCGCTACCAGAGTGTGTCGCTATGGCGTATTGCACGTTCTCCATCTTCTGGCATCGCTTCTCCAGGAAATCGTAGAATTCCCCAGCTGTGGGTATCCTTTCCGATGACGCAGTCTCTTCCCATTTGGTTTGGGTCTTCTCATCTAGCTTTTGCAGCAGCATGTGGATTATCATGCATCCAGATATCTCCTCAGCACTTCCTAATGACTGCAGGGCGCGCGTATGCAAGTTGACTGCGTCCGAAAACTCCCGAAGCCTTTTAGCAGAATGCGAATCTACCTTCTTGAGCCCAAGAATCTCCTTGATGTGTGCCTGGAAAACAAGTCGTTTATTATTAAAACGTCTGCTAAGTATGTCCAGAGCCACACGATAATTGGCACTGGAGAGCTCCAACGATCGAACCGAATCCAGGGCCGCATCTGAGAGACATGAGCGAAGATGTTGGAACTTCTCGATTTCACTGAGATCTGCATCCCCTTCGATGACCGAATTGAACATGGCAATAAAATCCGCATATTCCACATAGCCACCGGAGAAGCTAGGTAGCTTCAGCTCAGGAAGCCGCTGCTTGTGAGCCATGATGATGGTGTGACCTCCAGAGCTATTTGGCATGCTAGTGGAATGAGCAGCTACGCGCAAATGTCCTAGTTCGAGAGCCGCCAGCAGCTCGGCTTTCAAAGAAATGAAGAGCGTATCGAACGTTTCACGCAGCTCACTTCCAATCTCGTCTTCATCCAGTGATTCCAACTCATTATGGGACTTGTTGAACTCCTCACGCATTTCAGCCAACATATCGAGGCGCACATCTATATCAGCCGCACTTAAATTGTCGATTTTATTCCCCGAGAATGACTGGCCAAGACGCTGCAGCCGATCATGCAGAGACTGAACTTTACGCTTGTAAAGCCTCAGCCTTTTTTCCTCCATCGCAATATTTCCGCCCGCACCTGTATTCGGCTCTTTGTCCATGCCAACCGGTGTAATACAACGAAACAACGGAAAATGTAAGACCGCTTAAGCGACGGCGAAAGAACGGGAGCGAGAATAGAAGACACGGAAAGTCAAGGGCCGCGGCTGCAGCGGCGCAGAGCAAGAGAGAATCGGCGATTAAGCAACGGAATATTAGACGGCTGCAGTCGCACTGAACTTGCACTTTAACAGTTCTTATTTTCACAAAATGTATTTGTTGGTCGTTAAATGGCACAGCAACGAATATCTTATTCGATTTTTATAGTTTTTAAACGAAACGCGATTAAAAATTGTAGTTAAATCACGTCGGGGTCACCAATGTTTGAGATGCCAAGCTTTTTTGGCACCTATATTTATCCAAATCAGTTAAAGACTTTGACTTAAACGGTATAATGTTTATTTAGACCGGCGGCTAGCTGAAGCCAATTGCTCGCTCTTTTGCCCAGCCAGATAAATGTTCACAAGCGGGGGTTCAGTATGCAACCTATGCGGCGAGAGATTAGCATGGAACTACTTGGGCCACGACGGCCGATCAATGCAAGAGCCGACGCAGCAGGTGCAGAGCGCCCTTTAACAGGGAGAGCGCAGCAGCACTGCCGAACGCTGGGGACATACATAAGCTTAGGTTTCGATACTCTTATACTAGTTACAGCTACATTTAATATTGTGATAGACGCTTAAGTAGCCGCTGGCCCGAACACACTGTACGTCTCGTTGGTTCGCCCGATATTGGAGTATTGTTCTTGTGTGTGGAGTCCACAATACAAGGAGCAACATATTATTATTGAATCCGTTCAAAAACAATTTTTAATATTCGCCCTTAGACATCTAAACTGGGACTCTAACAGACTCCTTCCACCATACCTATCTAGGCTAAAACTAATGAACCTACCCTCTTTACACCATCGCAGAATTTGCAATGGCGTGGTATTCATGCATAAGCTCATTCTCGGGATTGTGAACTCCCAAACGCTTTTGGGACGAATCGATTTTTCGGTTCCCTCCAGACCAACCCGTACTTTCCGCCCCATCCGATTATCCATATGTAGATCTAATTACTCCCAGCATGAACCTTTCCGGGTTTTATGCAATAATTATAATTACTTGTACCATTTAATATCCCCCGAATTATCCCTTGAAAAAATAATATTTAACATTTATAATGATAAAACCTTAGTTTAGAAAATGTGTAAATTGTATCTTTCCTTCTCTCTTGTACATATATAATTAGTTTTTTTTATTCCTATTCCATAATTAGCAGATAATTGTTAATTGTAATAAATAAATACTAAAGGTCCGTCGACATACTCATGGTGGTGTTCCAGTCCTACCTCAGCGATAGATTGTCGAGGGCAGGGTCGAAGCGCCATCTATCGGTTTTCCTAGGAGACTATGGTGTAGGACAGTATCGGTGAGAGCGGGATTCCGTTACTGAAGAGAAGAAGGAAGAGAATAAGATTAGTTAAGTGTAGTGGTAAAGGCGCGCAACGTGAGAGGGATTAAATAGGAGTGAAAAAATCCAAAACGTGGACAGAAGAATTGTTGGTCATCCGAAGCGGATGCACAAGGGTAATAGCAGAGCTAGAATCTAGGCCGAGTGGGGTTAAACCCGATAAGTGGAATTTTTTAAAAGTGAGCGGTGAAAATTTAATATTTAAACGGAAATTAACCCGCGGTGTGTTTCTCTTAGCCTGGCCCGGAAGATTGCCCAGCGCAGCCGGGTCAGTGATATTGCCCGAGGAGATAATTCCTGGAGAGGATTGACTACAGTGTGCCAGATGAGCCGACCGTCGAAACCAAATTGTGAGTCCGTTCCGTGTCTGTTATTTGTGTGCCGTGTATGGAGCCGAGATTTGTGAGGGTTGCATGCTTAACCAGGTCAAACGAACGATCCGCGTAGAGTGACCAAGGACCGTGCCGCAGACGCAGTGGTGCACTGGCGTTACCCCACGAGCCGCAAGCCGAATGTGACAAAGCGTTTGGAGTTTTATCGGAGCTGGGCTTCGTCAAAGCGTTGAAACGCAATGCGAAGTTTTACACCAGCGATGCCCAGGCCCATTGCCCTGCGAGCCCTTTCGTTTTTGTAATTGCATATGCATACACAGTTTGTGCTGTGTACCAGCATACCGAAAGCCCAACACGTGCAAACAACTTTGTATGTATGTCCAGCAAAAACCGGTTTTGTCTTTTCTCTGATTGGTGTTATCCGACTTTTGTTATGATTTTGTTGTTGTCTTTTCTTCGAGATTGCACTGTTCGCTTATTCGTATTTGTGTTTTGGTTTGGGAGTATTGGTGAGTGCTCTGCCGTAAGCTGACTTTGGGCATCGCTGCCGTAAAGGATGCTTATCCAATGCTTCTTATAGATGGAATTTTAAGTAGGCTACCGAAAGCTGAGTTCGTCACAAGCATTGATCTAAAGGAGGCGTTTTGGCAGATTCCTCTCTATCCAAGTTGCCGTGACAACACCGCGTTCACTTTTCCTGGCCGTCCTTTATATAAATTTGTAGTTATGCCATTCGGCTTCACCACCGCACCCTGTACCATGTCGCGACTTATGGATAAACTTATTTCAGCCCATCTACGGAATAAAATCTTTATATTTTTAGACGACCTATTAGTTATATCAGCTATATTCGAACGCCATCTAGAGGTGTTTTCCCTTGTGGCCACTCACACAAAAGACGAAAAGTCACACAAGGGGTGTTTTGTGAATGTAGTGTATCCGTAGGACGACTGTCAAGTGGAGCGCAGAAACTGGAGCGGTTGTTGGTCCCGGCTAGTCAAGTGTCCTCCTCTAAAAAGAACTATTCTGTGAAGAAAAGAATTGAAGGTTATTTTTTTGTTTTGTGTGTTTGTTCGAGAATATATGTTTTGAATTTTGGTTAGGTGTCGATCGATATATATTCTATTTATTTATTTATTCAAGTATTTATTGGGGAAATGAATATTAGCCTATTTGGCGGCATATTTATTTAGGTATTTAAGTAATTATTTATTTATTTACGTGATTATTTGTTGTCAGAGGGGTTATTTTGCTTGTTATTTATTTGGGTATTTATTTATTTAGTTATATATAGTTAGTTTCGTTTAGATTGTTATAATCGTGGTCTTTGTGGTCCTTTAGTGGGAATGCCAAAAGCAGTAAGCAGCCGGCCATATCCGACGCGATCTCGAGCACACGAAAGACAGGGATCGTTAAGAGAAGTGTCCGGGGCGATGGCCGACCAAGATCGTAGTGATCTGGGAGCTGTGGGTGGTTTGCCGAGAACGCCAGTCCAGAACAGGGCAGAAGAGTGGCCGAATACACCATTCCTTCCTTCTGAATTGGCATCAGCAGCTAATGTAGCGATGGCTCAGGCGGGAGCGACAAATAGAGCAGCGTAGACTGACTCTATAAGTCGGGTGTTGCAGGAGGAGTTACGCATTGGATTCATGGGGATGATGCGCGAACTCAATGAGATACTCCAGCCGATGAGACAGCAGCCACCACAGCTGACAGTACCGAGCAAGGGCAGCGAGGAGCCATACCGAAGAGGAAGCCGTCGAGTTCGACTGAAGCGGCCATACCGCCACCAAAACTACGTTTGTCACGGTCGGGGCACGATGGGAATGGACCGGAGCCGTCTTCAGGAGTAGGGGCGACGGCATCTGCAGACCAACATCGACGGGGTGATCGTTCGGGCTCAAAATTGGCTAAACCCGATACCGAGACAGCAATGTACGGGTCGTAGCGGGAATAGTAGAGAACAACCAGCAGCCCACGTGAGGAGCAGCATCCACAGTCGTCCCATTACCGATCGTGGCCTCGGTGGGGCCGAGTCGAGAAGTGGGACGTGACTTTCGATGGCGACGCTAATAAGGTGACAGTCGAGGATTTTGTTTTCCGAGTCGAATTCTTGCAGGCGCAAATGCGATGTCCCTGGGATGAGGTGATGAAGGGGTTACATCATCTGCTTACGGGAAACGCTCGGGAATGGTATTGGCAGTACGTACGGGATCATCGTGGTGTTAACTGGCAGGAGTTTAGGGATGACTTGGTTGCACGTTTCCGAGGCACAGCTTCCGAGTTCGACCGAATGAGAGAACTGCGGGAACGGATGCAACGGCCAAACGAGAGAGTGGAAGACTTTTTTCATGCCATGAGGAAGCTTTCTTCGAGGGTAGAGACGCCACCACCTGAAAGCGAGATGATAAAGATAGTGAAAAAGGCTCTCACAGATGAGATAGCGAGTTTCGTGTATGGCTTACGAGTGTACTCCCTAGACCAACTGCGTGATGAATGCGTGGAAATAGAGCACACTTGAAGTAGAAGTCCCTATCTTCGTGGCGAGAAGCACCAAAAGCAACTTTGGCCGAGGAGCGAACGTCAGTGAGGTCGCGCAGGATCTGTCGAGAAGCGATGAGGAGGCAGAAGTCTGTGAGGAGGCGCAAGTGACACGGCGTGTTCCAGTAAAGTTGACTTGCTGGAACTGCGGGAAAACGGATCATGGTTTTCGGGACTGTATGGCAGCAGAGAGGCGAATCTTCTGCTACCGCTGTGGAAAGCCCAATGCATATTGTCCGACCTGTCCGAATTGTGCGGGAAACGCGAAGAAGAGCGCGATTCAAGCAGGTGAATCACGCTCACAGATGGGGCCTGCGAACTGGAAATAAAAGATAGGGAGAAAGAAATAGATAGACGGAGTTTGCATGATAGGTTAAGAAACTCAGTTCATGAGGCGACAGGCGTGACTCCATTCTTTGCTGTCTTCGGACAGCAAATGTATTTGCATGGGTCATGCTATAAGCTGGCAAAACGTTTGCGTTCCATCGGCGAGCATGACATATCTCTGCTAGAGAGTCAGGACAAGCGAAAACTCATTCAGGAGAGGATTCGAGATACTCTGCATCACGCGTACGAACGTAGTAGCTTGAGGTACAACCAGAGAGCTCGGGTGTTTTATGCGAGGCCTGGACAAGAGGTATTCCGCCGTAATTTTGTCCTTAGCGACTTCGGCAAATGCTTTAATACCAAGTTTGCGCGCAAGTTCATCCGATGCCGTGTAGTGAAGCCAGTAGGAGAGAACGCATATGCTTTGGAGGATCTCAACGGTCGTCCCATTGGAGTCTACCACGCCAAAGACTTGAGGCTCTAGTTGGATGTGGGTGTGGCCTACGTTGGGCGCTGCAGAAGGAGCCACGCCGGCATGTGGTCGAGAGTGATCCTTGATCCGGTGGGCATGCCCACGCGTATGTTGTCCTTTCAAAGTAGTTGCCTCAAAAATCCATACCCCTGTCAATTTAACTTCGGACTCAGTTGCCAGTGATGGAATCCCTAACAGTAACCAGCTTCCAGTTGTAAATGATTTGCCGGCATCTGTTACATTGAATGGTGATGGATCGGCAGCCTCTTCTAGCTCCTCAGCTCCCGCCCTGAGACTTTTAGGAGTAGCTCCACCAGCTCGCTTTTCCGGTGTTCCACTCAGCGCGTTGGTCCCCCGCAAAGCAATCTTTGTCTCTTCTTATCTCCAAGCCACACCGGATGATGTCAAACTACATCAAAGCTTATCTTATCTTCTTCAATCGCCCGGATAACTTTATTATAACTAAATTTAATTTTAAACATAAGCGTAATATCTCATCTTTCAAAATTCTTCTTCCCGATTGCTTGTATCCAAAGCTTTGGAACCGGCTGCATTGCCTGAACACACTATTATGCATGAATTTCTGCCCTAGGGACTCTACGCCAGACTTCAACATCCCATCTCTATCTTGGCAACAGGATGATTCTGAACATGTTGCTACCTGGAAGTCAACATGATTTCGTGGGGGGCCGTCTTGCTTGCCCAAATTAACTCTGTCAGAAATAATAGAGATAGACTGTTAGATCTCATCTTTGTCAGCGATGCCTCTCGTACAACGGTTTTAAGAGGCAATCCGATATCTTTTCCCGAAGATCCGCATCATCCTACTTTATCTATATTTTTCGAGGTCTCTATTACTAACACCATTTTACCTTCAAAAAGTTGTATAAAATGTTTTCGCAAAACTAATTTTATCGATCTTTGTCTACATCTCTCGCAAGTTGATTGGTCCTTTCTTCAGTCCTCATCTCATATAGAGCCTACTGTCAATCTGTTTTACGAAACATTATACTCTGCCCTCGATACCTACGTCCCTGAAGTCACCGTATTTGTTATAACGTACATATATCTTTCCCAATGTGGAACAAATTTCCGTAGTAATCCCAAAAAATTCTTCTCGTTCGTCAACTCAAAACGCAAGTCTAACGCGTTCCCTTCTTCCCTTCAGTTACAGTCTGAAACAGAAACTTCAGATCAAGGAATTGCAAATTTATTTGCCACCTTCTTTCAATCGACGTACTCCTCGGATACTTATGACTCCTCTACCCCTTATCCATATCATCTACCTCATGTTAATAATGTGTTTCTTCCCTTCCATGATAAAAGTACAGTCTTCGAAGGGTTGTCATCAATTGACATCTGTTTCTCTGCGGGTCCAGATAAAGTTCCGAGCTGTATTTTAAAATACTGCGCTCAAGCCCTATCTCATCCTTTGACCTTCTTATTTAATTTATCCCTGGAGCATTCTCGCCTCCCCATGATCTGGAATGAATCCTACCTTATTCCTCTTCAAAGGAAAGGGTCCAGATCTAATATCGAAAATTATCGTGGTATTGCTAAACTATCTGCCATTCCGAAGTTGCTCGAGCACCTTGTTACTCGTCAATTGCAACACGCATGTTCTAGCATTATATCCCCCACGCAACATGGTTGCGCCTACATCTTGACCTTGATGAATTAAGCATTTGGTGTTCAAATAACCTACTTTTCTTGAACCATTCTAAGTGCAAACTTATGATTTTTCACCGCCGTGCACCACATTTTGTCTCTTATTCTCTAGGACACCATGTTCTAGATCGAATCTCCACATCAAATGACTTGGAGTCCTTTTTGATCACAAGCTATGTTTTAATAGCCATATTGCTTCAACTGTTAACAAAGCTAAGGGAGTTCTAGCGTTTATTAAGCGTTGGTCAAAAGAGTTTGACGATCCGTATATAACTAAAGCACTGTACGTCTCGTTGGTTCGCCCGATATTGGAGTATTGTTCTTGTGTGTGGAGTCCACAATACAAGGAGCAACAAATTATTATTGAATCCGTTCAAAAACAATTTTTAATATTCGCCCTTAGACATCTAAATTGGGACTCTAAGAGACTCCTTCCACCATACCTATCTAGGCTAAAACTAATGAACCTACCCTCTTTACACCATGGCAGAATTTGCAATGGCGTGGTATTCATGCATAAGCTCATTCTTGGGATTGTGAACTCTCAAACGCTTTTGGGACGAATCGATTTTTCGGTTCCCTCCAGACCAACCCGTACTTTCCGCCCCATCCGATTATCCATATGTAGATCTAATTACTCCCAGCATGAACCTTTCCGGGTTTTATGCAATAATTATAATTACTTGTACCATTTAATATCCCCCGAATTATCCCTTGAAAAAATAATATTTAACATTTATAATGATAAAACCTTAGTTTAGAAAATGTGTAAATTGTATCTTTCCTTTCTCTCTTGTACATATATAATTAGTTTTTTTTTATTCCTATTCCATAATTAGCAGATAATTGTTAATTGAAATAAATAAATACTAAAGGTCCGTCGACATACTCATGGTGGTGTTCCAGTCCTACCTCAGCGATAGATTGTCGAGGGCAGGGTCGAAGCGCCATCTATCGGTTTTCCTAGGAGACTATGGTGTAGGACAGTATCGGTGAGAGCGGGATTCCGTTACTGAAGAGAAGAAGGAAGAGAATAAGATTAGTTAAGTGTAGTGGTAAAGGCGCGCAACGTGAGAGGGATTAAATAGGAGTGAAAAATCCAAAACGTGGACAGAAGAATTGTTGGTCATCCGAAGCGGATGCACAAGGGTAATAGCAGAGCTAGAATCTAGGCCGAGTGGGGTTAAACCCGATTAGTGGAATTTTTTAAAAGTGAGCGGTGAAAATTTAACATTTAAACGGAAATTAACCCGCGGTGTGTTTCTCTTAGCCTGGCCCGGAAGATTGCCCAGCGCAGCCGGGTCAGTGATATTGCCCGAGGGAGATAATTCCTGGAGAGGATTGACTACAGTGTGCCAGATGAGCCGACCGTCGAAACCAAATTGTGAGTCCGTTCCGTGTCTGTTATTTGTGTGCCGTGTATGGAGCCGAGATTTGTGAGGGGTGCATGCTTAACCAGGTCAAACGAACGATCCGCGTAGAGTGACCAAGGACCGTGCCGCAGACGCAGTGGTGCACTGGTGATACCCCACGAGCCGCAAGCCGAATGTGACAGAGCGTTTGGAGTTTTATCGGAGCTGGGCTTCGTCAAAGCGTTGAAACGCAATGCGAAGTTTTACACCAGCGATGCCCAGGCCCATTGCCCTGCGAGCCCTTTCGTTTTTGTAATTGCATATGCATACACAGTTTGTGCTGTGTACCAGCATACCGAAAGCCCAACACGTGCAAACAACTTTGTATGTATGTCCAGCAAAAACCGGTTTTGTCTTTTCTCTGATTGGTGTTATCCGACTTTTGTTATGATTTTGTTGTTGTCTTTTCTTCGAGATTGCACTGTTCGCTTATTCGTATTTGTGTTTTGGTTTGGGAGTATTGGTGAGTGCTCTGCCGTAAGCTGATTTGTGCACCCCTGGTCTGAATGGAGGAATAACGAGAAGGAACGTGTGAGTCGCTTCTCTACTTCTCTATTCTACTTTTTTACCCGTACTCAGTCAGTATATAAGTTTGTAAGCTTGAGTTTTTAGAATTTTAGAATTAAAATAAAAATGTAGTGTGGTGTCGTGCTGGATGGGCTTATGGACGCAACTGAAAATAAATTTCTTTACTCTGGCTATAATAATAATCCGATCTGATTCAGATTCGGCTATCTGATAGATATGGTCATTCTCTACTATACTACGCTTTTACTTTTCTGGTATCTTTAAAATTGTGGCTGCCACAGATTTTCGTACTTTGTGGGGGTGGAAGGGACGGGACGAAGTTTTTAAATACTTTTGTAGCAGTGTGGAAACAAAATTTCTTTGCTCTATCTTTGAGCTCTAGGCGACAAAGAAAACGGACGGAAAGACAGACAAGGCTGTATGGACTCGGCTATTGATACTAATCAAGAATATATATACTTAATGGGGTCGGAAACGTTTCCTTCTCTGCGTTACACACATCCACAAAAACAATATACCCCTTAACTCTTTTTGAGTACGGGTGTAAATAGGGATCATCCCATAATTAAAAAAAAAAGAGAAATAGTGGAAATGGGGCGATCAAGGTTGGGTGGGCGTTGCTTTTGCAACAACACCCGCACAGCTAGCAGACATTGCAGTTGCAGAGTGATAGCGAAAGGCGATAGAAAGAAAGGTGTGGGATGAAGAGGCGAAAGAGAACGGCTGCATAGGCTGCTGCCGTGAGGGAGCATGAATGCGTGCATGAGTTTGTTGGTAAATGACAATTTAGTACAGTGGGCAGTGCAAACAACGAACAATAATAAGGATTTACTCTACTGCTGCACCACTGGCTATAATCTATGCATTTGTCCACTATTTGGCTGTGTAACCAAACACTTTTCTTCTTAGTTTTTAATCATTTTATTGAAGCGATCTACCAATTAACAAAGTTTTCCCTCCAACATTAATTTTTTCATAAGATCGCGCTTCTCCGCAATACAGAGCTTTCCACATCCCATTGTAATTATTATTATTAACTTTTATTATAGAAACAATGAAATCTTAGACAAAACTAATTAACACGTGAATTCTACAAAGGCAATTCCGCGAATATAGGAGATTCACTAAAAAAAAGGGCTAATGGTGATATTTTTTATACCCGTACTCAAAGAGTTAAGGGATACATATGTATTAGACATATGCATGAATGTATCCAAAAAGGCAAATGAATCATTCATTCTGAAAACGGGTACACGTTTTTGACTGTACAGTAGGCTGGGCCAAATTTTGACCAACAATTTTGTTTTCTGTTTTTTCTAGTGGACACCCCCCAATTCTGTTATTTGTTATTCAATAAAATTTTTATTTTTAGTAACTTTTAAAAAATTAACGAATGGTGAAAAT